GTGGGGTACCGGCGTCCGTCCGCGGCCTGCGTTTCCGCCCGGGGCTCCCTTCCGCCTCCCGACGCCGGCGTTCCGGGACCTGGCCGGGGCGGTATTGGGGCATTAGCCCCGGAGCTTCCTTGGTGGGGTGTCCTTGTCGATCTTACCGTCGTGGTTGCTCCCCTGGCAAGGCTAGCACAGGCTGGCCTTTTGTGCTGCCTTCCTGCTAGGGAAGGGTTAAGGGACGCGTGCCTAGTTGGGAATTAGGTAAGGTAGGGTTTCCACCCGCACTGGTTTAACTTTAGTCCCTGTAGACCTACGATAACAGTGTTGCCCTCCAGGATGATTTAAGGGATAAATGACGCCGTGCATGTGGCGTTGGTCTTGCGCCTGGTTAAAAATGAGGGCTCAGTAGTCAGGTGCCTTAGTTCTTGGGGTTATACTATAGAGAATTCTGTGGTAAATGTTGAGAGAATTGAGAGATCCCCATAGGTGGAATATTTGTATCGGGTATATTTGTTATTAAAGGCACAGCCCTCTTAGGTATACTAAAGATAAAATTTACTTAAAGTTTCGAAGTGTGACGACATGTTGAATTATAGGTCAATGTCAATGCAAAACAGCTGTTGCTTCAGAGGGACGATGAGAGTTTCTTCAAAGCCAAACATGAGTGCCCATGGTCTGGAAACACAGATTGAAGTTTCCATGGATTGTATGTTCCTCTGTGGAAGAACTCAGCTCAACGTTTGTAGTCACAGGCCCAAAGAAAGTCACAAATCAATGTATTTGCCAAATATAATGAGGGAATACAAGTAGATTACAGAGTTTTGAACCTATCTTACATCTTTAGTGTTAGGCTTGCAAGCCGATGGTCTGTTAGGATAACACATTCCAAACTTAAGTACTCGGTAATCATAAAGCTCAGAAACAGTGTGTGGTGATACAGGGCTTACGTGGTGATACAGGGTTAACGATAACCGAAGGTAATTTTGGCTGTTTCTAGATCTGTGGCAGTCCATCTCTTCACAACCAGGAATGTCTATGTCTGGTGTATTGTCTGCACAGTGTTCAACACAGATACGGCTTCTTCAGAGAACTTCTGGTCATAGAGATCCCTGCCGCTTGTTTGACTCCAGAATCGAGTATAGCAGGAAATGGGAAATCCCCCCCCCCCCCGTGTGTTTTGCATGAAATGAGAAGGAAATCTTGAGGACCATTCTATCCTATTTCCCCTGGTCCCTCCGACTGTTCACCTGTGGATGCCTCAATTTCTATGGCAGATGCTTTCTGGATTTAAGTTGTGACATATATTGAACATATTTAGTGTAACTAGTGTCTAAGGGAACACATATACTTTTGCAAATTGGTTCCCGTGATTTTGTTGTTAGGTTTTGGATATTGTGATTCTTGACACAGACACTGGAGCTTCAAGTAGGTTTTTCCAGCTCCTATTTTGCCAAACTCTTGCTGTTAACAAGCAGCTCCCAGTCATATGTAGTTATTGAACATTAAGAAAATTGAAGCTAAATAATATTTATGGTTCTGTCTTGCAGTTATGCTAGCCACATTTCAAGTACTTAGCATATGGTGAGCATCGACTGTGTTTGGCTTTGCCAGTATAAGACATTCCTGTTTAAATCCAAAGTTGTATTGGACAGCAGTTCTAGAAGCTGAGTTTCGATTTCCACATCTATATAAGCTCTCAATAAGTGACTTGAGAAGCTTGTATTTCCAATACCCTGACATAATACTTGGTATTTTGCAGCAGTCTGATTACAGAGGCTTTCACATGTATTATTTCACCGTACTTCATAGACAATCCTGTGAAGCGGATAGGTAGGTGAGTGGGCATAAAGTTTTCCTATTAACCAGCTAGCAAAATCAGGCCTATAGACCTTGAGTAGGTTTTGTGTCGACTAGCAGGTGGCAGTCTTTCTTAGAGTGCTGTGGCTGTAACCAGGTCCCCTTCAGTGTCAGGCGTGGGAGCTGCTGCAGTACTGCAGCTGGTAGCGCTTTAGTTCGTACTTTCGTGAGTCAGTTCAGAGAGCAAAGGTGACGAGGGAAGGAGGCAGCTATGGACTGGCCCTTCCCTGTGCTGGTGCCCCAGGTTATGTAGTGAAAGGGTAAGACAGCTATGCTTTATTTACCCCAGTGCTTCTCAACCTGTGGGTACCGACCCATTGGGGGGTTCTAATGGCCCTTTCACAGGGGTTCACCCAAGACCATTGGAAAACACAGATATTTACATTATAATTTGTAATAGTACAAAATCACGGTTATGAAGTAGCAACAAAAATAATCTTATGGTTGGGGTGTCACCACAACATGGGGAGCTGTATTAAAGGGTCACAGCAATAGGAAGGTTGAGAGCCACTGCTTTACTCCGTTAAGCCTGGGGAGACCTCCAGGACTACATACAGCCTGGTTAATTTGCTGGGGTTGAACAAAGCAAGCGGCCATTTAATTGATGATGAAGGTTTAGAAGAATTACATTTATTCTGCTACTTGAAATCTTACCTAGTTCTTAGAAGGGGTTTCGGGTGATGGTCTGTACAAATGACCCGTCAGTCATTGAGGGTGAACAGAGAGAAGTTAACTCTGGTCAAGTACATGTGTATAAAGTATTTCCATAAACTTCCTCTATTTTAACTGTTTAATCCATTAAATTAAAAGCAGTTTGATTCTGGGCTAAGGATGTAGCTCAGTTAGTAGTATATGAAGCCCTGTTTGATCCCTAGCACCACATAAAGTGTGCAGAGGTGACATATATATGTAATCCCAGCACTTGGGAGGTGGAGCAGAAGGATCAGAAGTTCAAGGCCATCCTTAGGTACATGGGGTATTGGAAGTTAGCCAAGGATAAGTAGGATTCTGTAAAACAAAAAAAATATTTTAGTGCTTTAATTGGTGGAGTCACTACTCTGTTTTACTTGTGTATAGCAGTGGTTTCCATAGTCACTTCCTTGAAAGTGCATGTTAGGAGCAAGACCAGCAGCCGTCTTGGCTTAGGGTCTCTGCTCTTTCACTTGAAGACTCACCTTCCCTCTCATTTGTGCTCCCTTCCCTGTCTTTTAGAATCAGTTACTAATCTTAGCATTTGTTAACCACATACCTTTAATACAGTGGTTCTCCACCTTCCTAAGGCTGTGACCCTTTAATACAGTTCCTCATGTTGTGGTGACCCCCAACCATAAAATTATTTTTGTTGCTACTTCATAACTGTAATTATGCTACTGTCATGGATTGTAATGAAATATCTGATATGTGACCCCGGTGAAAGAGTCATTTGACCCCACAGGTTGAGAGCCATTGCTTTAGTACATTTTAACAGTCCAGGTTCCTAGCAGTAGAAAGAAATTTTTTGAGCTTTAAATGAAAGTTACTGGTCTGTGTTTGAGTTCCCCCATGGCTTAGGCATTTTGTACATTGTCAAAACTGTAAGATAAATGCCTTGACAAGAGGCTGATGTTAAAGGATTTGAAATTCCTTTGTTGTAAGTTTAGCTCTTGTGTGTCCTATTACAGCAATCCTAACGCCCCTGGTTTTGAATGATTCCATAAACATCCCTCTTTACTGTAGCTTAGCTTCCAGGCATTTGTCTGTGTTACATCTCGCCAATTCATATTGGCATAGGTTTGGGAACAGTCCCATCTGGTTTTTCAAGTATTAAAAGCCAAACAAGTTCTAAATGTGAGCTCATTTTCAGCTTCCACAAAGCTCTTTCTCTTAATCCTAGTAACCCTAGGTTAAACTGAACCACCCAGTTGCCTGCACTGAAAATGTCAACATCCCTCTGCTGTGTGTGGTGTGTGGTGTATATGTATGTGTATGTGTGGGGTGTGTGCACACACACACACACACACACACACACACGCACGTGTGCGCACACGTGCGTCTTAATAATATACAAATGAATTCCTAAACTTTCCACTTTACTACGGAGTCCAACTGTCCCAAGTCATTGCCCCCTACATCCCTTTTTAATTTGTGTTTAGAGAATCTTCTAGCTGTGAGGGCTCTTGTCCTCCTCAGCTGTTTTACCTCGAGAAAAGAGCATAGCTGTTGAGTAGTTTAGAGTCTCAGTTCCTCTGTCAGGAGAGTTGTTTTACAGAGCCCAGTTTGGGAGGAGCATTGCCCTGACCTGTCTCTGAATCTCTTTTTCTGTCTTTTGACCGTGTGGGGCCTGACATATGCTAGGGGGGCAGGCAAGTAAAAATATTTGTTTTTAAAGGCCTCTCCAACCCCCAGTTAAAAGAAGTTTGGGAGCATCAATCTTTTTTTGAAGACACAAGCACAAAATTTTTTTTGTATCATTTCTTTCATTTAGAAAATATTAGTGTATATTCATTATACAAAGTGATGAAAGCTTTCGCTGATATTTTAAGATAGGATTTTTTAATTAGCAGGATCCTTTTTTTTTTCTTTTCCAAGACAGGGTTTCTCTATGTAGTTTTTGGTGCCTGTCCTGGATCTCACTCTGTAGACCAGGCTGACCTCAGACTCACAGAGATCTGCCTGGCTCTGCCTCCTGAGTGCACCACCACCTGACTCAGCAGGGTCCTTTTATCCAGTGTCATGGTAACACAGCATTATCCACTGGGGGTGGTTCATCTGACTTATTTGTGAATTTAGATGATTGGATTTGCACTTCTGAAAGATATTTCTAGCCGTGAAATTATTTGCTTTGACTTCTAGGGAAGTTGACTTTTATGGGGGGGGGGTAACTATTGCCATGTATTGATAGTAGTTAAAAATTATAACTAATTAAGTGCTGGGAATGGAGTAGAAAGCTCCAGGTGCTAGTAAAATGTCTTTTCCCACATTTTAATGATGTTTTGTAGAAAGGAAAGCAATTTAGGCTTGCTAGATGATAGATAACAGTAAAACATATGCAGTGGTGTGCATTTTTCCAAGATCCAGTTAGTTTTGAATACACCATATGGACTAAAATGTTCAGAGACTCACAAAAGAGTTAAACAGCTGCCTCTCGTGGTCAGAATCTCACGACCAGGCACCTGCACAGTAGTGACCTTGTGGCTAGCAGAATGATTTGCTTTTATGAAGCTGACCACGGACAACCTTGAACTTATCTCTGAGGGCCATGGTCACAGAGATACTGTTTTTCTAAGAGCTTGCAAAAGCAAAATAGGTTTCATGAACTGAGGGTGTAGCTCAGTGGTCAGTTATGTACTTAGCATGTGTAAGGAGGATCTGGATTTCATCCCTGGCATGGAAACCAGACCAGAATCACCGTTGCCATCAACAAAAACCCCAGTAGACTTCCTGGGTGGTAATGATTGCTGAGTGTTTCCACAGATCTGTGACAGGTAGGGAGACAAAACTCCAGAACCCACCAGTTTGCTGGGTCAGGAAGTGGTTTTCATTTCTTTTAGGGTATAGAGCTTGCCCTCTGTAGATAGGGTAGAAGGCTAGACCCTCAGTTTGTGCTCTCTTCTTCCTAAAGGTGTGTTTGTTCATTTGACCTTGTGGGTTAAGTTATGATTTAAATTTTTTTCTTTTATTTGCTACTGTTGTGTGAGTTATGTTGATGTTGTGTTTGTGGGCTCCCATGGCACATATGTAGAGGTCAGATAACCACATCTTGGAATGAGTTCCAGGAATCCAACGCAGGTGGCCAGGCTTTCATGGCAAGATGAACTTTATCTGATGAACTATCTCCCTGGCCTTTAAGTTATATTTTGAAATTACTAAAAATATTGAAATGCTGCTTCCTTTCTCAGCTCAGAAGATAAGATAACAGTCTACTTCAAGAACCGTGATGGTGAAACTCTAAAGACCACGGGCAAAGTCGGTGACTCTCTGCTAGATGTTGTGATTGAAAATAATCTGGATATTGATGGTTTTGGTAAGTGTTCCTGAAACTTCCAAGGTAGACTTCTGAATAAGTTACAGGGTTTTTTCTTTGTTTTAACTTTTAAACTATAACATTCTAAGTAAATATTGTAATTTAGGACATGTTAATTTTTTTTTTATTTGTAAAGATTATTAGAAAGTAGGGGCTGGAGAGATGGCTGAGTGGTTAAAACCACATACTGCTCTTCAGAGGATCGGAATTCTGTTCCCAGTACCCAGATCAGCTGGCTCATAACTGCCTGTAATTCTGGCTCCAGGGGGTCCTCCACCCGCTTCTGTCTTTTCCTACACCTGCGCACACATGGCTCACACACACAGACAGAAACATACCCACAGAAACATTAAAAATAACAATACGAATAATATGAATAATAGAGTGACACTGTTGTTTACTTTTAGAAGAGAATTTAAATAGCCATGTGGCTCAGAAATCGATTGTGGCCCTGTTACCAACTCTGTGCCACCTGTGCTGCAAGCCAGAGGGTACGGGAGAGGTGGAAGACACAGGTCAGAGGTCGTAAATACCATAGCATAGAGCAGTTTTGAATAGCTCTGATTTCATTTAAGTGTCATCTCACCTTCTCAGGAGGGGTAACTTACTCTAAAAAAAAAAGAGGGTTGTGTAGAAAGTTTTCATTTCTTTACTTCTGACCATATCGTCTAACCACACGTACAAAGCTGATGTTTTCACACTTCCGTATTATACCTCGGGGAAGCACTGGCTGTGTCTAAATGGTTCATTTCTAAGGGTTCCTGGCTCATTGCCATCTTTATCACCTGAGAAATGCAGATTTTGAGACTCAGGAAGTCTAACCAGCAATGTTTTATTTATTTATTTATTTATTTATTTATTATTATTATTATTATTATTATTATTATTATTATTATTATTATTATTTGTGTGTGTGTGTGTGTGTGTGTACACACACGCATGTGTGCATATGTTTATGTGCAGGCTTGCTTATGCTGTGTCACATGTGTGGAGATCAGAGGACAACTTTATGGAGTCAGTTCTATCCTCCTTCCACGTGGGTCGTGAGGATCAAACTCAGGTTTTCAGGTTTGATGGCAGACACCTTTACCAGCCAGTCTGTCTTGCCAGCCTAGCAGTGTGTGCTGAAGCTGCTCTCTCGATTTGGACGGTGCATGTTAAGTTTGAAAAGTGCTAGCCCAGTGCAGGGCTCCTGGAGCCTTTCCAGTTATAGTTCCTTTTTGTTGAAGACATTTCATACAACCTTGGTGTATAGTTTATAGTTACACAAATGGAACATTGACTGGTAATAAATTGTAAGTTTATTTCAAACCAAATAGATGCTTGTTTATTTTTATATAAAGAACTAAATCTTTTTATTTATTTTTTTTATTGGTGGGGGGGGTCGTGTTTTGGGACAGGGTTTCACTGTATAGCCCTGGCTGTCCTGGAACTCACTATGTAGACCAGGCTGTCCTTGAACTCACAGAGATCTGCCTGTCAAGTGCTGGGATTAAAGATGTGCACCACCATGTGCCTGGCTTTAAAGAACTAATATTTGATTAGTTCTTGTATATTTGATTTTGTAGACATACGAACATCTTCAGCATTTTTTAGAGTGTCCTAGTGTTTTGTTGTCAGTGATGAGAATTATGCTTCTTATAAATAGATAGCACAAAATGGCAGAAGTATGCTTAGGGCCATTTCAAAAATGTTGGTAATTTTTGTTGGTAATCTGTCCAAATCCAAGCCAGAATTCATTAAACATTTTTTTTTTTTTTAGATGAAACTCAAGTTAGAAACTCAAACAGCAATTTTTAAATTGAAAAATAAATCCAAAGATACACTAGTTTGGTATTTACATGCTGTAGAATGACACTAGAAAAACATCAAAAACCTTTATTTTTAATGTCTAAACCATTTTGTTTCTATAAGGGCAGAGAAGTTTGTATGCACTGTAATTCTACTCTTGGTGAAAACTGTCCCCTGTGTGACTACTGGAGGACAGCCTGGGTTCAAAGTACTCAAAAGAAATTCTGTAGATGAACTTCTGAACAGTCTTATTAATAGAAAACACGGAGCCAGATGTAGGGGTGAAAACCTGAGAGATATCAAAGGAATAGGAACAGCCACATGCTGACCTCACCTCACCAACCCTGCAGCTTCCAAAAGTGAGACACTTCCTGTCCACCCACACCTATATGCCTTGCTGTTCTGCCATCTGATTTGCTCTCTCTGTCCACCTACATCATTTCCTTTTCCTGCCCAGCTCTGTCACTTCCTGTTTGTCTGTACAGACCTCCATGGTTAGCTATTGTTGGAATTTAAGGTGTGTGCCACCATGTCTGGCTTTGTTCCAAGTGTGGCCTTGAACTCACATAGATCCAGACAGATCCCTGCCTGCCAGCTGATAGGATTAAAGGCGTGTGCTAACATTGCATGACTTTTGTGTTTGCTTATAATGGCTGGCTTTTTCCTCTAATCTCCAGGCAAGCTTTATTTATTAGAGCACAAATAAAATATCACCACAAAGTCCCATTCCCAGAATATTGTCACTGTTATCCTTGCTTGTAGTTCTCTAGAAGAGCTCCAGTCCAGGGAGTTCCTTGATCCTCCTTGTAGGTTTCTGTGTGGTGAGATCTTTGTCTATAGAGCTTTCACCTAAAATGATGAGCTTTGTTGGTTTGTGATACCACTTGGGGTGAGCAAGAGCCTAGCTACACATTGAAAGGAATACCCCAGAGTGAGATGCTGTAGAAGGCTGTGAGGCTCTGGGGATCTAGAAGACACACAGACTCGACTCTCATCTCTGGCTGACTGTGAGCTCTCTTAGAAGCAACAGTGAAGACTAACATGCAAATTGCTTGGTTGGTGAAGTATTTGCCTAATTACCTGAGCCTCTTGCAAAAACCTCTTGACACCGGACATTTAACCCCCTGGCCAGTCTTTTAGCTGGCCCCTAAGCTGGGATGCACACTGAGGACTGTGAGCTTCAGAGAATTTGTGAGCAGCAGTGAGCATCAGTGAGCAGCAGTGACCGCCAGTGGGCAGCAACTGCAGCACACCTGGGGCAGGGTGAGCTCCTTACTCCCAGTTTCCACAAGGTGGCATCTGCACCTGCACAGAAGAAGAAGTTCAGGATACGTGAAGAGCGAGGGAAGGCCCTTCCTTGGAAAAACAAAAGGCAGATGTTAGAATTACTAGACGAGTTTGGTTGGTTGGTTTTTTGACACAGGGTTTCTCCGTGTAGCCCTGGCTGTCCTGGAACTAGCCAACCTTTAAATCAGATTTAAAAACTGTGTGTCAGTGTTCTCTGTCATGTTCTAGACCAACACATCTATGTGTGGAGGCTGTTACCACCCTGTGAGAACATCCAAAAGAAATGGTTTTTCGAGCCCTTGAGAACACTTAGGTGAAAGCTATAACCAAATGAGGCTATTTATGTCATTTTCTCTGCAGATTCACTTTCACTTTTAGGAAGAGACACTTGTCCTAGGCAATTTACTACAGAGATATTTCTAACAGAAAGGATGAGCAAAAACAGCTGCCTATTGACAGAGAACTGATATGTAGTCATAGACTGCAAGGCTGTCTAGCTGTGTAAGACAATTCAAGAAGAGGTCTAAGGATTAAACATCAGAAAGAAGGAAGTTTTTGTTTTTGTTGCCAAAGTCCCTCTACAGGTAACATAAACATGTTACTTGTCTGTTGCTGTGATGAAACATCTGACCTACTGTATCTCAGGATGGCCTTGAAATTATGTGTCTGAGACTGGCCTTGAACTCCTGATCTTCCTTTTTCCGTCTCTGTTCTGGGAGTGCATGAGCCACCATACCTGGTTTCTGTCATGCTTGAGAGTAACCTAAGATATCATGTGTGCCAGACAAGCATCCTACCAATTGAGATACATTCCCAGCTCCAGTTTATTGGCTTCTAACTAGCATCTTGGAGAAATAAGGAAATAAAAAAACATAGAAAAACACAACCTCTTTTTTACAGGGGTTTTACTGTGAAATATTTATCTATTTTATCAAGTGTTTGTGTAAAATTAAATTAATATTGTGAGTCAAGGTTGAAACAGTATTTTTCCCTAAACCCTTTTTGGCGTGGTTGAGTAGAGTGTTCCTGCCTAGGCCTGTCTGTCCATTCCACCACTTTTACAGTATTGTGACTTTGGGTTGGGGCCCTAACTTCTTATTTTGTCTTCTCACCTGTAAATGGGGCCAGTATTAGTATATACCCCATAAGGTTGCTGTAAAGATCAAATGAGTTAATCCAAGTGTATCAGGACCTTTTCTGTTGGGATAAAAACATCCTTGACCAAAGGTGACTTATGGAAGAAGGAGTTTATCTTGGTTTACTGCAGTTGCAGGTGGGAGCTCCACAGTAGTGAGGGAGACATGGCAACAGGTGGCCATAGCAGGAAGCTCAGAGAGTACATCTTCAACGACAGCTGTGAAGCAGAGTGAACTGGAAGTGGGGGAGGCTGCAAACTCAACACATGACCCAGTGACATGCTTCTTCCAGCATGGCTTTCCACCGTGTGCATCATGAGCACAAACCTCCTAAAGGTTCCATCACCTCTCCCCGCTCCCCGACAAACAGTGACACCTCCCAGGGTCCATGTGTTCAAACACCTGAGGGCTGCCCATGGCTGAGTCCATGGTTTCTGCAGTAAGTATCTACTCATGTGATCTCATCCCTTCTGTGACCTTAAGTCCTTCCTAAATGCTGATAGAGATTAAATTTATATCTTTGGCTCAGTTTTCTCCTCTGAGCTTAAACTTGCAGATTCAACTCCCTACTTTACATTTCTTTTTGGAAATCCCAAAGGTATTTAAAACTGAAATATTTGATTTTTTTTAACATTTTATTTATCCCCTCCACCATATGTGTATAACATTTGTGTGTGATTGTAGGCACACACATGCTATAATACATGTGGAGGGCTGAGGAGTTCTCCTTTTCTGCCATGTGCATAATGAGCATGAACTCAGGTCACCAGTCAGATTTGGCAACACTTGCCCTCACCCGCTGAAGCCTGTTGCTGGTAGGAATCGTGTTTTAAAACAGCTTTTGATCCCACCCTTCTCTAGCAGTCTTTCCTCCAGCACTTCCTGTGTCAGTAGTGAGCACTGCCCAACTACTGCAGGTTGAAGCCTGAGCACATTTGTTTTCCTGTACATCCAGCACATTGGCACCTACCCTCACTGACCCCTCCAGTAGCTCCTCTTGGCTCCATCCTTGTATTTATTCCCTGGCTCTGGTAAGCCATTGCATAACTGGACCTGTGAACCTGCCTCCAGTCTTGATCTCTGCAGCTGGGGTGGTGGTCAGGACACACAGACACACATCAGCTATGTTAGTGCTCTGATTGAAACCACGAAGGATTCCCATTGCTAAGTCCATACTCCTCGTTGGCCTAACGGCTGCACATGATGTGCCCTCCCCCTGCTCTTCCACTCTCCTCCGCTTCTCCTCTTTCTTCTTCCTATTTTGGCAATGCTGACCTCTTAGAAGCTTGAACTCCCACTAAACTCACACCTTTGAGACTTCGTGTGTGCACTTTTCCCTCTGTTCCGTCTCTCTCCCATCCCACAAATGCTTCTTTACTCTTCTCTGTCTCTCAAGCCTGCTTGTATTAGTTCCTTATGTCGTGTGGGGAACACATAGACGATGATGACAGATGCTGTGGAAGGGAGGGCTGGATTCTGGGATGTAGCTGTGGGGTTCAGGTAACAAAAGGAATCCTCCTTTGCCCAACCACCCAGGCCCTAGTGGGGAATCTTGGGTTACTCCCAACCCATTAGAGACTACATTGCTTGTAGTACCCAGTCTACAACAGTTTGTCATTGTCTGGTCTGGCCCACTGCCTTGCCCCGACCATCCTTTCATAGCATTTACCACATTTCGGTAGTACATTTATTCACTCCTGTGTCCTTCTTCCATTGGACTCTGGTAAGGGATCCAGTCATTCTTAATTTAGTCATTGTTGTGTATGAAGGAATGAGTGAATAAGTGGATCAAAATGGACAATTGTGAACTTGGGAAACAATACAGTGCATAAATATTCTTTCTACCAACTTTGATGATAATAATCTTTTCAGTATCGTGTGTTGCAGTATTCTGCCACTTGGGGGCAGTTATACATCTGTGATTAAATTTATCTAGCTTATCATTTCAAACTTTTTCTTCTGAATTTTTCATATGCCCGTTTTATGACTATTCAAGAAAAGAGGTCCCAGTAATGTTCATAGAGGTCTGTATTTCTGCTTGCCCTTATGCTTACTGTTGTTTTTCTGATATGCTACGTCAGCCTTTGGACACTGATTATACATCGTTTCATTTTCAGTATGTAACTTACCACACTGCTGTATTCTAAGTTTCATTTAGGAAAGGTAGGTGTTTGTGGGTGACCCACCTTGTATTGTTAGCATCTTAAGTGAACAAAATGACCCTAATACAAGATTCACATGTAGGAAACTTCCTGTCAGCAGCACTCAAATTTCATAAATGGAAATTTCATATATCTATACTATGTACTTTTGTTATCTCCATTTGTCCCTACAACTCTCTAACTTCCTTTAGTGTCCTCTACCCTGACTTCCTCTAAACTTCATGTCCTCCTTCTTTTGGCTATTACTCCCCTCCCACCCCCCGACCAATTAGTGCTGCTAATATGTGATGGGTGTAGGGCAACCCATTGGGGTCTGGACAACCTACCAGTGCCATGTCCTCAAAGAGCGTGAATCTCTCAGCAACCATCAACTGCCAGTAGCTCCTCTGCCAAGGGTGGGGCCATAGAGGCCCCTCCTCCATCCATGCTGGATTTTTGACTGGCGTGATCTTGGGCAGGTAATCACAGCCTCTGTGAGTTGATGTGTGCAATGGCTGTGTCATGTCCAGATGTCGGCATTTCACACTTTTCCTCCTCAACCAACGCTTAACATCCTGTCCTCTCTTCCATAGTGTTCCCTGAGCCTTATGGTTGCTTATATTGCACTTTGACCAGTTATGAGCTCTCAGCAATAATCACTCTTGCCTACTGCAAAAACAAGCTTTGCCAGGCAGTGGTGGCGCACATCTTTAATCCCAGCACTTGATAGGCAGAGGCAGGCAGATCTCTCTGAGTTTGAGGCCAGCCTGGTCTACAAAGTGAGTTTCAGGATGGCCAGGGCTACACAGAGAAACCCTGTCTCAAAAAAAAAAAAAAACCAAAAAAACAAAACAAAACAAAAACCAAACAAACAAACAAAAACAAAAAACAATCAAGTAAAAAGCAAAAACAACTTTTTCCCGCCAAAGTTGAGAGCAAGAGCAACACAGATCAGTGGTTATAAGCATCAGTATTTAGAAGGCAGTTTGACAGCTTAACCCATAAGTAAAACACCAGCAGTAAATTCCTGTCACCTGTGATTTCAGCCAGGCTTACAGTACCAGGCATGGCATCCCTTTTTTGAAGCCAGATTGAAATCCAATCAGAAAGTTGTTGGCTAACCCATGACAGAACAGTCCTGCCTCTGCTGCACCACTGTGCACGTATTGCTGGTCTGTTAGTACTGTAGCATGCAGCGCTAATGCTGGATGAGACGATTGATACAGGTCCCCCACCCCAGCAGCCTGAGGTTCTCACTGTTTCCAAAGAGTGATCACCACAACCTGCCAGATGTGCTGCCAATACATACGTTTGTTTATGCTCACCATTCCTGTAACGTCCAGGTGGAGTTGGTATGGCTACTATGAAAATAACTGAAGCACAGAGAGTAGAGAAGCCTGCCATGACAGAGAACACAGAGGAGTGGTCAGGCGGGGAGTCTGGTTCCAGAGCTCAGATGCTCAACTCTTGTGCCTCATTACTTGGGCCCTCCTGAGGCTATCATTGCTTTAAATGTAAGGTGTTCTCTCTCTCTCTCTCTCTCTCTCTCTCTCTCTCTCTCTCTCTCTCTCTCTCTCTCTGTTGTTATATGTGTTCTGGTGCATGGTCATGGTATGAAGTTTTTCTCACCTCCCTTGTTGAGGCAGGTCTCCTTGTCTCTGTTTCTATGTTGTGTATATGTTCCAGGCTATCTGGCTAGTGATCTTCTAGGCCATTCTGTGTACAAATGTTTGTGTGTGTGTGTGTGTGTGTGTGTGTGTGTGTGCAAATGTTTATATATGTGTGTGTGTGTACAAATGTTTATATATGTGTGTGTGTACAAATGTTTATATATATGTGTGCGTGCAAGTGTTTATATATGTATACAAATGTTTATATATACATATAAAGCAACCAAAGCTTTAAAATAAAGTTTGTTTATGATTATTATCACTGTGTGTTTGATTTTATGTACCTGTTTTATTTGCCTATTTACCTGTGGCCACTTAAAAATTTCTCACTTGAAAATAGGTCATGAGTGGAAAAGATAAGGAAGCCCTGGCTTATATAGTTGGATTTCTTTGAGAGGAGATTTCCAAATGAAGTCTGAGGCTGTTTCTTAGAGTCTGTCTTGATTTGTTTGGATGACATGATTTTGTTAGTTTCCTTTCTGTGGTGTTTGGCACATAATAGGAACTGATAAATAACTGTTAAATTAATAGTTTAAAAGTGGAATGCGGAGCCCGGCAGTGGTGGCGCACGCCTTTAATCCCAGCACTTGGGAGGCAGAGGCAGGTGGATCTCAGTGAGTTTCAGGCCAGTCTGGTCTACAGAGTGAGTTTCAGGACAGCCAGGACTACACAGAGAAACCCTGTCTTGAAAAAAAAAAAAAAAAAAAAAAAAAAGTGGGACGAGGAGCCAGCAATGTCTCAGAAGTAAAGGCACTTGATACTGCATCTGGTGACCAGAGTTTGGTCATTGAGACCCACATGGTGCACATGCACACATACATACACAACACTCAAATATAGAATAAATATAACTTAAAAATGGGACAAAAGAAATAATCACATTATGTAAATTTGTGGTGCGTCTTATAACATCTTGTTTGTTAGACCTGATTACTTAGAGGATTGAGAGGGAAGAATATTTAACTTTATTTAGGTGTAGGGTGGTTGCTTTCTCTTCGATAACACAAGTCATTATTAGTTGTTTTAAGGCTCTCCAGGTAAGGTGAATTATGTGCATATGATTATATACATTATTGCTGTATGTATTTAAGGATACATCGTTATGCGTATGTGTGCCTCAGTTATGAACTTGGATACATTTTAATATTAAGATTGTATGCCCTTCATGGTCCCCTACATTGCCTGTTTGTGAAGTACTGTGTGAGTGATTTCAGACAGCATGTGGGGTTGGGGACCTACTCCTGACTCGTGACTCTTCAGTAATGAATCCCTTTCACTTAGTGTTGTGGCTGATGCTAACACTGAGAAGCATTCAGAGCGGCCAGGTGTGCACAGCTGCAGTGCACAGCATGTTGAGCCTCTTCTGCTCTTACAGGTGCTTGCGAGGGAACGTTGGCCTGCTCTACCTGTCACCTCATCTTTGAGGATCATATCTATGAGAAGTTAGATGCCATCACCGATGAGGAGAATGACATGCTTGACCTGGCTTATGGACTCACAGCCAGGTGAGTAGATTTTGTTTGAAGGATCTGAACTGTTGATCAGGGTGGTCTCACTCTCGTGTGTGCTGAGAGTGCAGGCATAAGGCACAATGCCTGACCTGTCAGGTAAGACTTATGGTTGCTGCACTGTTGCTGACAAGCTGAGAAATCGGTGTTATATTCCGGTGGGTCTAAGATGGCAGCCATGAGTAGAGATGCCCTTGTAGGTAGAGAACAGTCATGAAGTCTGAACAGCCTCTGGGAGCACTTTCCTTTCACTGGCCATACTTGGCCCCATGAAACTTCCCTTTTACAAAAGTCAAAGAATTAATTGATAGTAATATAATTCCTAAATCCTAACACATCTTCTTTAGTCTATTTTTATGCCAGGAATTAATATTTATCAATTTCATAGGATGGAATTAAATGGAATGCTTTTTATAGTATTCTTGAAGGACATATTTGATAATTGAACAGAATTATAGTGGAAATTTTTACCTGTCTAAGAGAACTGAGTTTTCAAAGAAACTTAATATATAATAGTAATTATGTTAAGGTGAGTAGTTCTTTTTCTAAGTGTATATTAAAGTAAATTAATCAGAGCTTATTAATTAGTAGGTAGAGTTTCTCTTAAAACACGGTGAGCTTCACAGTAGCAGGTGGCATTAGTGATACTATTTTTTAATTATCCAGTCTTAGAGTCAAGGAAGGCTTGTCCTTGAGTTACTGTTTCAAGGCATAATTAAGGAGGCTTATTACTTACTGAGAGTGGGTTTTGTTTAATTGTATTTTACTATTTTAATGAAGAATAACTTCTTAAAAACTTTATTAGCTTACAAGAACTAGGTTTCATATACTAAGAATAAACTTTAAGCAATTATAGTGATAATAGTTTTATTAATTTCAGTGTGTTCCTTTTATAGTTCATCTCTCCCTATTTTCTATTCTGTCTGGTTTTGGGTACTAAGGGCCTTGCCCATGCTAGACAAAGCACCCTGTCTGTCAGTCAGCCATGTGCCTGGCCTCTATGTCCCTAGCCTCTCTCTCCCTCTTATGGAGGCAAGACTAACACCCTGGGAGCATCATACCTTTTCCATTCAAGCTCGCCGTGGCTGCTACCCTGACCCATAGACGGTCTCCTGCCCTTGGTGTACTTGCCCTTCACTCACTGTGCCTACAGTATTCTGCCTTGCCTCACTGACAGTAGAATCACTTTTAAATGAATACTTCCTTAAAGTGTAGCATTGTCTTACTCTTCATGTATGAACAAGTGGGGTATCGGACTGTCTCCCTAAGGCCTCCCAAGTCCTGTAAAATCTGTCTGTATTGCCTTGCCATGGTTTTTGCTCTTGCAGATAGAGCTCCACGCATAATTGAGTATAGTCAAGGCTGTTTCTAACTCCACAGTGAAGGACTACTGATGGGAGGTGATGTTTATTTTTCTCCCAGCCATCGAAGTTCCCTATGGCTAAACTGGCTTTCTTATTCCAGGACTCCCCAGTGGTGCCTCACTATATCTAAGTTATATGCATTGCTCTGGCTACTTTTTAAACTATAATTTTCCATGTAATTTTTTCTCTCCTTTTTTTTCCCTCAGAGGAAGGTGCTAGGGATTGGATTGGGACTTTTGCACATTAGGCAAGTGCTCTGTCACTGAGCCACACCCCACCCATTGCTTGTCCTTGTCAGTGCTTCCCAGCAGCAAAACTGAAGCACCTACTTCACCTCAGATGCTCTTCCCAAGTTCCTTTGCTTCTTACTAAATGTTAAGTCTTACCCACCCTTCAAAATCTATTCCAGACACCATCTGTCCTGGCCAGAAGTATGGCTTCCTCCTCAGAGGGTTCCCTTGTTTTCTGTTTGTGTGGCATGTTTTCTGTTTGTCATGGTCGCACATGCTGATTCTCAGTGAGTTTTCTCATCTCATCTGTCTGATTGAAAGTTCACTCCATATTATTGACCTTAGCAGTCAGTCTTTTCAGCAGTCCTTCGAGGAAGCCTTTTATTCTCCATCTTGATGATCAGGTTAGGAAATAATAGAAAGTTGCCTCTGAATACACTGTTAGTGCTGATTTTGGACCACTGGCCAATTTTCTCTAAATCCTGTGCTTGCCTATGAACACCTCTCCTGAGCCCAACATGTACCAGGTGTTAATAAGAAAGCACTGGATTGAGTACTCTATGTATACTCACTAATGTATAGTAGTGTACCCATTGACATTTAGTAGAATAACCACTGACATTTAGTAGTACACCAATTGACATTTAGTACTGTACCATTGACATTTAGTGGTAGAGAAATTTACCATTATACGTTCAGTAAATGTTTGATGAATCCATTAAGGAAGCCAATGCCTTCAGAACATGCTTTGTCAAAGACAGTTTTATTGTAAGAGTAACTGTTTCCCCCCCAGTATTGGGAATTGAACCCAGGGCCTTGCACATACTAGGAAAGTACTTTACACTGAGCTTTATCCCAACCCTTTCTTTACTTTTTAAAATTTAAGACTGAAGTGAAGTTAAATCCAAGCTGGAATTCTTACCCGTCAGCTCAGGCTGACCCTCAGCTTGCAGCCCTCTTGTCTTGGCCTCTGAAGCAGCTGAGATGATAGGCAGGGCCACCAATCCCGACTTAGCGCGTACTTTTGGAACTTCTAGAGAAAAGTGCTGCTTACTAAAATATGTGCTGTAGGGCCTTTTCATTGATGTGCTGTGTGCATGTAGAAAAGTCATTTAACATAGCCATACGCACGCACCACATTGTTGACAACGGAACATCTGAGGAAAGCATAATTGGTGCATTTTGTGAAAGAAAGAGAAGAGAATGGAGTCATGGTCCATCTTCCCATAACACATTACAGATTTGCATCTGCTGCGTTCCTCTGGTGCTGGTGATTTTGGTTCTATAATCCCTTTGCACTCATTTCACATGGGCTAAAGAATTTAACCATTTTGGAATCAACATACTTCTCTAACTCAATTGGAGATCGTGGTGTGTATGTTGTAACAAAGTTCACAGCCCTGACACAGAAACCACCTCACACTGTAGCAGTGACTGTGAAATGCCATTGGCTTTAAGATGGACCTTGATTTCAGAGATGTTAAAGATATGGGGGAAATACCTTCTGACAATTGACGGTTTGAGTCTATGGATTTCCTTCTTGTCTTACAGACTTTTGTTGTTACTGTCTGGCAGGATCTCCTATCCTAGCCTGGTCTCTTTCCTTCTGTGTAGCCGAGGATGGTGGTGAACTCCTGACCTGCCTCCGTCTTCAGTGCTGGGACTCCAGGTGCTGCCACCATGGTTGTTTGGTGCTGGCCCTCAGCTGCCTCTCGTTGGCATGGATGGTGGTGTCTGCCTTGGCCTAATGAAAACTTAAAAGATTAGCAAATTCTCCAACTCTTTGGGCAAGAGAGTATAAAAATGTCCTAAACAACTGCAGGCTGTGGATGACCTGTGTCCGGTGCTAAACGGGGCCTCCTTCCTTTCTTTGCAGGTCACGGTTGGGCTGCCAAGTCTGTCTGACCAAGGCTATGGACAACATGACTGTGAGTGTGCCTGAGGCAGTGGCGGATGTCAGGCAGTCTGTGGACATGAGCAAGAATTCCTAAAACACAATAAAAAGAAATATTTTCATGAAAATTTACCTATTTTTATAATTATTTCTCAGTATAATTAAGTGATTACACAACAGAATGTATTTCTCAGTATGAGTAGCTCTGCTGTCTTAATTCAGTTTGTAGTCCTGAAAGTCAGCAGTTTTTGTTTTGATTAAATTATTAAAATGTCAGTTTAATTTTAGAAGAGAGTTGATATAATAAACTCCTTACACATTTTACCATGAGTGTGTCAGTGATTTTAGCAAAACATTACTGTGTAATCTTATGTCTGCTTTTTTAAGAGGTAAGTTTAAAAAGAGTGTCATTGGGCCTTGAGAGTTAGAGTAGCAGGTCAGAGCACTGGCTGCTCTTCCAGAGGACCCGGTTCAATTCCTAAACCCACACGGCCATTCGTAATGGTTTGTAACTCCACTTCTTGCCTCCACAGACACGACGACGATTTTTTAAAAGCGTATCATTATTCTTGTTTCATGTAGGCAGTAGATCTCCATCTAACCAGGGTGTAGCCAGAGAATCTGTTGCTTCTGGCTGTCAGTTTTATATCAGACTGAAACTGGAGAAATTATGAAGATCTTAACCCAGGTTGGCAGAGCTGTGTTACAGAGGACATCATGCGACCTCTCAAACAGTACAGACACAAGACTATCCAAAACATGGCCCACTGGAACCACCGCAGCTGGTCCTTTAATGCATGATAATGGCATTTCTGTATCATTAGCCTTAAAAACTTCTGTTCCTGCTGTCCACCTCCTACAAGGACATATTCAGAAATTCTACTTAGGGATAAAAGGGGTATGGAGAGTTAACCCTATTCGGGGGAAATCTCAATCCATTCCCGGAATTCTGTAGCGTGCCTTAACTTATGACTAATTTTCCCCTCCTTAAAGTTTGCCTGTAATACGCTGTCTCAAGTCCCATGCTACCCATCTGAGAAGCCTCCATTCAGCTTTGGGTGTGTCCTTTTGTACCACAATAAAACGTTTCCTCGGTTCTTACTTTGTCTTGTCTTAAATTCTTTCTTTGATGGTGGAAAGAACCTGGAGACACTGGGAAGATGCCTCAGTCTGCTCTGTCTTGGAGAACCAGCTCCTCAGCCTCCATCCAGGCAGCATTATGTATGGCAGTATTTAAATGTATAGGTGTGTGGAAAAGATTCTTAATTGCCGAGCGCAGCACTTAATTTCAAAGACAATAAAGCCTTATAAATAAGTATTTCAAAATTGTTTCTCAGAAGTATAATCTCAGAAGTGTGGTGTGTGCTGACTGGCTTAGGGGAATACTCAGAACTGGACGTCTTCATTCTCTATTCCAAGAGGAGTACTCTATCTGTGTAGTCTTTTGAAAGGAATGCTGTGCAAATTATTTCCACTCCACAGAACAGAAATCCAGTGAATCACTTCTGTCTCCTCAGTCGTACCATATGATCAGGGTGCCGTGTTGCACAGCCAGGGGACACCGTCCTGTCTCTCCTTGGGCACAGTCTGCTCAACAATGTGCGACAGTCCCAGAAACTAGTGTGTATCTTCAGCACACTGATAAGTGGCTGTGCATGGAAGATGTTTGCCTCCCTTTATAAACCAGAAATAAATTCTTCATTGTTCACAAAGTGAACACCATGTGTTCTGGAATCAGACATGCTGCCATTGTACTGTGAGGCCACATTGTGCTCTTTGTAGTTAAACAACTAATTTTGGAGAAAAACAGAGTAAAGAGGTGGGGGGTGGGGGTGGGAAGCATAAGTATAGTTCACTTTGAGTACCCCACTGCTGTTTGTTCGTTTGTTTAAATATGAACCAAGTGTCAAACTTGAGCATCGTGTTAGACTGTGTAAATCGACAGATGAAAAGATAGGACATCTCTCTCATGCCTCCTCCCCACAAGGTTCAGGGATTTAACGATGGAAAGGGGGCAGAAAGACTGAGAGCCTGAGATGGAGGCATTAGTAGCAAAGCAGCTGCTGCTGCACATGTGAACCTGCAGAAGCTGTGACTTGCTGCACAAGATTAAGCTAGCCAGAATCTCAGCATGCATGGGGTCAGAGGGTGTTAGGAAGTCTCGCTTCTAGCTGAGGAGTTATTGGCAGTTGATGGCTACTGGGGAGGGAAAATCAGTTTCCCCAGGGATGTAGTCCTTGAGACGCCACCCCACTTTGGTAGACGGCCCTACAACCATGCACATGCAGGCAACACCAGGTGGATTTTGGCTTTTAAGAAACATTTTAGGTGTATGAGTGTTGACTTGCATGTAGGTCTGTGCACCATATGCACAGTGTCCATGACAGGCAGAAGAGAGAGTTGGATCCCCTGGACCTGGAGTTGGAACTGTGAGCCACGGCATGGATACTGGAAGTCAAACCTGGGTCCTTTGCAAGAGCAGCCACGGCTCCTAACCACTGAGCCACCTCTCTAGCCTCAGACTCAGTGGGTTTTGAAAGAAGAGCAAGTGAAGTTGGGAAGACAAAGTGGTAGAGGGGATAGGGAACTTACTGGAGGGAAGAGAATGGAGAGTGGGTTTGATTAAAACACATGCATGTGTAAAATTCTCGAAGGCTAGGAAAAAAGAATGCCCAAGGGAAAGAATGCCCCCAAGGAGGGCAAAAGAATGAAAGATACAATGTATATGTGCACACATGATTTCCTTGAACCAAACCAATCAATTTGCCAAATGGTTTTTGTTTTTTATCTATTTTAAAATTAATGTGTAGGAAGATGTGAAGCATCTTGTGTTTGTTTACTGCTTAATGGCTGGAATCCTTTTTATGTGGTGCATGCTATACTTTGAAAGTTCTTCAAAGCAATTTATTAATTAGCACTAGTATTCTTCTGCACAGATCACCTAAGCTCACCTTTCCAGAGCACTTTAAAATGAATATGCATCATGGTCTAAAGTACCTCAAATTTCAAATTATAAAAGTTCAAATCAACAATGTGTACCTGTATGCAGCCTAATTAGATGGAGGATATTGAATAGTTGGCTTATCCGTCCGTATTTGAAGCATGTGGGTTCTAGGTATTACTGTATTGGTTTCTCTACTGGGATAAACAAGTTATCCCAAAAGCTCAATGTTGTTAAACAATTATCTTTTGTTTGTTCCGACAGCTCCTGCGAGTCAGGAATGTAGATGACAAGGAGTGAGACAGTGTGTCTGCTTCTCTGTGTTGAGGTCCTGTTTGCCTGGTTTGCCTTTCTGTTGCTGTGATAAAACATTGACCCAAAGCAACTTGGGAAGGAAAGGGTTTATTTTATCTTACATTTCACTTTTCATCATGGGGGAAGCATAGGCAGGAAGTCAAGACACGAACCTGGAGGCAGGAATTGAAGCAGAGACCCCGGAGAGTCTGCTTAATGATGTGTTCAGCTACCTCTCTTAGGCAGCCCAGGTGCACCTGCCCAGGAATGACCCTGTTTACAGTGGACTAGGGCTTCCTGCATCTATTAGCAGTTAGGAAAATGCTCCCATCCACACATACCCACAGGCCATTCTGATGAAAGCAATTCCTCAGCTGACTTTCTGTGGCCCTAGGTGACTCAAGTTCATCTACAGGCTTATCTCTCATGACTGGGTGACTGGCAGGGTTAGCCAGGGCTTTGGGCTGGAACACCCACAGTGTGGCCTGGCCTCCTTACAAAGCAGTGGCTGAGTTCTAAGGCCAGGCACACCGCAAATGGTGCAGGCAGAGATACTGGACTTTAAAGCAAACAGCGTCCTAAGCCTTTCAAGAGAAACCTCTTGTTCATCTTGCATTATATTTTGAAATACCTTGTGTTGACTGTATTATGATGATTTGTTTCTTTAACTCATACCATGTTTTTTTCCTTGACTATTGAAAGGGAGCAACAATGGATTCCCTTTGAATGCTGTTTGAGGCTGGTTTCCTTTTCTTAGTGATTTTGCGTCTTCAGACAAGCAAGCATCTTCCTTTGGTGGTATACTCTATAATTGTTGGCTGTGTGCTAATGCTTAATATTATATTTGGATTTCATGATAAACCCACAACCTGCAATTATATAAGTGCTTTAGAATCACTCCATTTTTTTTTTTTTTTAAAGAAAACTAGTCTAGGAATTTCTGAAACCTTTTGCCAACGTTAACTGTGAACACACTCTTATTTTGTCTTAAAGGACGGCTTCCATGTTTTCCTGGCGGCTAGGTGAAGTATTACATGGTGGCCCACATGGCCAATGTAGTGGTCGTCCCCCATTTCACTTGGAACATCTTCTAAGTGAGACATGGACTGTGTTGTCCTAGCTTTCTTCTTGCTAGTCCTCCTCATGGCTCTCCTTAGGCTGCCTGGAATTCTGTGGGAAACCACATTTTGGAACGGAGCTTGTACACATGGCTTCCTTATTTATGGGCTAACTCACTGTACTGTAAAACCCAGGAGTAATGTGCTGTGTGTTCACTCCTGAAAATAGTGTGTGAAATTAAGGGTAGACCACAGTGAGACATAAAGGCTGGGTTTTCTCTTGGAGAAATGTCGACGACTAGAAATATGATCTTGGCAAAGAAGCAGCAAGGATTCCTCCATGTGTCAGCATGTCACATATCACGTTGTCTTTATCAGATTTCCTTCTGTTTATAATATTCTGGACACTGAAAAAATTAGATAACCACCTAGCAAGAGGAAGGCATGGTCATTAGCAGACAAATGTGGGTATAACAGGACTGAAATGTGGAGGGTTTTTTTTTGTTTGTTTGTTTTTTGAGACAGGGTTTCTCTGTGTAACAACTCTGGCTCTCCTGGAACTTGCTTTGTAGACCAGGCTGGCCTTGAACTCACAGAGTTCCACCTGCCTCTGTCTCCCAAGTGCTGGGATTAAAGGTGTGCGCCACCACTGCCTGGCCAGAAGATACACGTGCTGACAGCAGTGTAATGTCCCATAGGCTTCTCAGTTGCCTTTCCTGCTTCAGATTATTGGCTTATCTTATAGTGTTTGCATTCTAATGCTTCTCGTTGACTGTTTCTGAAAGTATGGCTTCCAGTGTTCAGAGTTAATCCTTCGTACAACAGTGGGTGGTTTTTGTTTGTTAGTTTGGTGTTTGGAGAAAGGGTCTCTCTGGCTGGCCTGGAACTTCATTTCTGCAGTGCTAGGGTCATGGGCACCTACTACTCTGCCTGGTGCACTAGTGTTGAGAGAGCCATTGAGATGCCAGGTTCTGCTGTCGTGAGTGGGTTAATGACTTTAGTGTGACAAGGGGTCCCTCATACAAGGCCAC